AACACTTAATACGCAACAAAAAATCCCTCAAACACTTAATACGCAACAAAAAATCCCTCAAACACTTAATACGCAACAAAAAATTCCTCAAATACTTAATACGCATCAAAAAATCCCTTTCATTTCCTTTCCACAAAAAAATCCCTTCATTTACTTTCCACAAAAAAATCCCTTCATTTACTTTACATAACACAATCTCTTTCATTTACTTTACATAAAATTACTGAGTGTGTGAAACTGAAATGCAATTCGATATCCGACATCGTTATTATTAAATGTCAGACCCCGAGAATTAGTGTCAGACCACGAGAATGGAATACCGGACTTGGATAATAAAGTCAGACCACGAGAATGGAATACCGGACTTGGATAATAAAGTCAGACCATGAGAATGGAATACCGGACTTGGATAATAAAGTTCAGACCCCGAGAATGGAAAACCGGATATGGATAATAAAGTTCAGACCACGCGAACGGAATACCCGATATCGATAATAGAGTCAGRYCTCGATAATGCAATACCCGACATCGATAATTGAATAACCGATATCGATAATAGTCCGGCTGAATTTTGAACGGTTTCGTACGCCATAAGCAGGAGYGTTTTATCGGGTATAAAACACGAGGCGCAGCCGAGTGGTTTTAGACCCGATAAAACACGATCTGCGAGATTATTAAACGGCTTAGAAAACTTATGATGTTTGTTCTCATACTGTACCGATTTTTTTACGAAATGAACCAAGTTTGATAGAGAAAATCCAAGTTAAAGTTTATGCAAATGAAGACGAATCTTTATCCGATTTAAAATCACCTTCATGGTCATGATTTCTATTGTGTTTTCGTCATGAATGATTAATGAGTTTTCTAAAGTAAAATAACAGTCCCGCTTGCCGAGGTTAAGATATAGGTTATTGCTCCAACAAAGATAACTAAAAAACTACTCTAAACTCTTTGATCACGAATAGATGTGTTCTCGTCRACTTCATACACTAATACTAACGCTAAGTGGAATTGAGACGTGTTGTAACTAAGTGAAACGTTAAGGATATGACGTAACTAATAATAGATACAAAAATAAAGTGTTCGTGGGCGGGGCTGATAAGCCTTCCTTTACAAAGGAATACAAACTAAATGGTTCAAAGTAATCAGTCTTTCTAAAAATACTTCCAATTTGAAGGGTTTGAATCCAATAAAGAATTTGAAAATTAAATTGCATTTACAAAAAAAAGTGAAAACTAATGWTACATACGATGGTATTCGAACCCACATCCACCGAAAAAAAAAAATTGAGAATCAATTCCAAAATTAAAATTTTTAAACCACTGTGCCATACATCTGCAGAGCTGAGGCGTCGTATGGACTTCGGATCTGACGGTTAATTAAGGCCTTCTGTCCTTGGTCGTACGGATTACGCAAGAAAAATGTTCTAGACGAAGCATCAGGGGAGAGACTAGCCCCCAGACAATACCTACAGCTAATCCTTTGCACTATCATCAACTCACGTCGATTTGAACATGGTTAATGGAGCAGAACTAATGACTATCATAATTTGAAATGGAAAGTTATCTAGTCTACATAATGTAGTTTTCAAGTTTAATTTTTTGCTTTTTTAGAACCGTGCTCAACTGGGCTTCAAAGAAACTGAGTCAAGCACGGTTGAGTAAGGTTAGTACCTGAATTTTGTTGTATACACTCCTTTTCAACTCTGGTTCAATTCCTGGACACAGTTTAATATGTAAGCAAATTTTGTCGGGTCTCTTTCAGGAAATAAACTGGAGACCTCAAGGAGGAAAAGTGAGTGCACTCAATCGATGTATTCCTCGCGCGCTATTCTTGAAACAGCATTTAGGAGCCTCTCTACTAGAGTAGGCTAAGACTTCACGCGGAGATTGTCAGAAGGGATCTCGTGAAGCATGCTTTTACGATCTTAGATTTATCATTTGCGTATCTTTTGTATATTGATCGTTTTAGAGTCTGAAGGAGAAAGTTAGTTTTTTGATGTACATTGGATTGGATGATCGTAAGATATGTGCGGCGAACCAGTTGAGTTGCTGTTTATGAACATAATCTTGCAGCGGGGTAGCTCCACTGTATTTGAAGATGTGTTCGTTGGTGAGCTTATAAGCCATGTGGAACTTCTCAGTGTTCTTCATCATCCGATGGAAAGGTCTCGCAAAGGGGGATTAGTTTCTTGGAGGAGCCCCCTTTAACTAGATTACGTAGCTGGCTGCTATATGCACTGCATATTACTTTAGGGTTGTAGCTGTTGTCGACCATGTTTGACAGGCGTATGTCAGCTTTGCCCCCAAATAAAGAATCAAAAATCATCCATCTGGTGTTTAGGGCAATTGAATGATTCTTGTAAAAGATTTCCTCGCTGTAATAGAAGTTTATAGCACTAAATTTACTCGTTAGGTTATATCTAAAGATTTGGCCAAGATAAGTGAAGGTTTCAACATTCGCAAGTGGAAGGTCACGAGAGTACAGATAGTCTTTGGGTAGTCATCTTTTGTAAGCTTATCCGTCATGATCATTGTTTTAGTTTTTTTCAAAGCTCATTTTCAGTCCAAATCTTGTACATATATTGAGCGCAAAATTTCTAGCGTCTTCTGAAGTGCTGTCATTTTTGCTCAATATTCCTGGATCATCCGCATTGCCTAACCATAGTAGAAGTAGTACTCCAGAACTTTTCTCATGAGATCGTTGTGCACTGTCAGTGGCTTCATTTGGTATTCTGTAGAATATCTCTATGCGCAACTTTTCACGTCTGCATTCTTCATCAAATATTCTGAGGATGTAGTCCAGGTAGAGATTAAAACTAATTGGGCTCTCACATCCTCCTTGTCAGACACCACTGAGTTGGTGGTTCGAAATGCTGTGTCTAGGCCATCGACGCTCTTAAAGTTGTAAGTTTCAATTTGATAATAATTTGGAATGAATCTTCTTCCTCTTGGTACCCTGGTCCCAGAGGCTCGACGATTTTTCTCCACGTATATTTTGAGCCGCGATGCGGCGAACGATTTGCGAAGCAACGAGACCGGCGAGACTTCGTCGGAGCTCCGACGAGGACTCGCTGCTTCGCAAATCGCTCGCCACTGCGCGGCTCATAATGTATGTGGCCGGGAGAAAAATCTTCGAGCCTCTGGGACCAGGGTATCCTCTTGGTATAGGCTTTAACTTCTTTCGTAGTTGCAGGAAGCTGAAGTATTGCTTCTTACCTGCTTCCTACTAAATCACACTTAATTAACAAATTAGACGAGAGTTGTCTCAATAAAGGCGGTTCACTGGTTTAATCCCTACGACACCATGCCACACCCAAAAAGACTTGAGGGTTTTCTCCCTTATCCACAAGAGTCAGTTTTTCTCCTGGTTCTCCATAAGTTTTTTTCCAATTAAAATCGGCCTTCAGTTGATTGTTATAAATATTACATGTACTGCGGGATGAGAATAAAGTATACATGTATGGCCACAAACGTTTCTTGCCTTTCTTCTACCGCGTAAAAACATAGCAAATTGATATGATTAGAGTCAGTGGCCCCCATAACATTTTGATTTTTGTCTGTGTTTTATTTTTTTTATTTTTTTTGTAAATAATATATTATACTTTCTTATAATGTTCTCTCATTAAATAAAATTGATGTTGAAGTTGTTACAAATACAATTTTAATCCTTAAATATTCGTCCATCAAGAATTAAAAAATTATGTGACAGTTAATGCTAATTTAGTGCTTTCTTAAGGTCCATTTTCATCATAAACTTACATATAGCTACTTATAGACTGGCCAATTATCTAAATATTTGSGGATAGACACTTTGTCCTAGTAAATTGAATAGAGGCAGGTAATATCTTCCACAAGGGCTTGGTCCACTTGAAATATGACAATGAAATATTGTTTCTAGATTAATGTTCCGCAAAACATCAAACAAAAATCAAGTTAATATGTGTTGTTCTTCTTTGGAGATTAAGAGGCCTTTTACGCCTCATCGAGAGGAAAAAATTAATTAAACAGGTTATGTAAAAGGCCTATTATTTGTTATTAACCTAAGATATAGACCGAGAAAGTCTAATCGTTGAACAGGAAGACACCTACAGATCCACTGAACCTGTTTGGGGATCCTGGACACGAAAGCTTAGCAAAATGATAGGAAGATAAACCTATTTTGTCTAGGTGGAAGAATGAATTGAAGTGAAGAGTATTACAAAACGGTTAATCCGTTTTATGGTGGGCGTAAGGGAGCTATTGGAAAAATTTATTACGAGATAAGAATCTTTAGAGTTATTAGGTTTTTGTTCTGATGAAACTAAAGATGCTACAAAGCAACAAACAATAAGTGAAGTCTCTTGCACGAATGTTATAACTTCAACGAGCGACGGCGATTGGTGGGCTATAGGTCGATGTTTGTCTTTTGGGAAACCCAACAGATGTTTAGATTTATAAGAAATCTTCTCAAACGCTCTTTATAAAAGCTAAATGAATGTGAATGTGAAAGCAAAATGGGTAATATCTCGTCTGCAGCGAAGGACAAAACAGTCATGCCTGAATGATATCTAATGTTTTGACAGCAACCTATTATGTGCGATTATTTACTAATTATACCACACTGTTTAATAACTCAACGGYGATATGAACGGACTAGTGGAAAAAGTCACCATGCTGGGCCTTTTATTGCTATTTTCAATACTGTAGCAAGAGAAGTTATAGATGAATGRCTGAGTTGACTTTCAGCTGCTCGGCTTATTTCCTCTTACATATTGCAAAACACACGTCTCTTCAGGAAAAAGGTCTTATTGCTGAAGAAAGTGTTGAATCTAGAAACGAGAAATCTTAATTAAAGAGAACTTCGGAACTTTTTAATGAGATTATGGTTTGTTTAGGAAACACACAACCAATAGAGCATTAATGAATCTAACCAAACTTAGTGTCAAGAAAGATTAAACTTTACGATTGAAAAACCATCGCTTCAAAATCGACTTGGATTTCGACATGTTCTGGTATCGTCCTTGAACGCAAGTCCAAAACGAAAACCCATGTAAATATTGAAAGAGTTTATTAGAAACTTGTGCTCCTCTGCCACTTAATGATTCAAACAAGTCTAGTTTAATTAAAGTTTAAGCCAATCACATTGAATAATGATCGATTATAAACTAAGTGGATTTGTTCGTATGCTTTAAAAGTGTGTCTTTATTGATCGTCTTGCACGGTGTAAGTACCGTGTCCTTCTCATGGTGTTGAAGGTCTACTGTTGGTAAATTAGTGCACTGATAAGATAGCTTTGCATCTTACACCTACAATCAAAACAGTTTGGAAGCGCTTTTTGTAAACTCACGAACCATGGATGCTGTGGGACACAAAGCGGACAATAAGAACCCAATGGCACCAACACATGTCTTGGGAAGTTTTTCCATTGACAGTATTCTGAATGAGAGCAACCCTAAAGTAGTTGATGGGTATGACCTAAGACTGTCCATGGATCCAAGAGCGGCTCTTTCAATGGTGGACCAGAGAGAAGAAGAAATCTCACCCATACAGAATGAGCAAACTGAACCAAGAAAGAACCACGAAGGTAAGAGAAAGCATCATGTAGAGATTTTCTTTCGCTCTGCGTCGCTTCGCCTGAACTCTAGCTCCCATAATCAAGATCCTAAATAATCCTCTTTCGCTCTAAAACAATCTCAACTATCAAGCATGTATTAATCAAATTGAGGTTAAACACTAAATTTCTATTTATTGTAAAGAGATTAAGTTGAACGGCCGCTTCACGCTGAGACATGAATTGCCCTAAAACGGAACCAACGCCAAACCTTTAGGAGGCTTTTAGTCTTAGATCCGTTATCTGATTGGAAGAAATCTGAAGCTGAAGTTACGTCTTCGGCTTAGCCCTTGGTTTGRGAAGAAAATAACTCGTAAATTTTGATTTGTTTTGATTTATACACAACTAAAATGGAGGTTGGTAAACGACTCACAAGAAACCCCCACTTGGCAAACGACACTAAAAGCTGCTGTTTTGTGAGATTCACTTCAAGCCTCTGCTGGGCCGTTAAGCTACACAATGGTAGACTACAAAGACGACTTTAGATTTGAGATTTTCCCTTCCTACTTTTTTATATATTTGATTTGTTTTGTTTTATGTTGTCAAAGACTGAATTATATAAACTCAACTGATCGCTACCTCTTAAGGTAGTGAATAAGATACTTTGTCGTACAGCAAGTCGATCATTTATCTAGTTACTATTTGACAGTAAATCTAGCTTTTTGTTTTGTATATTTTGGCAATCGTTTCTCCTAAGGCATAATTTCTTGTAACAAAATCAGATCACCATGCACTTGAAGTTTGGTCATCGACAATTTTGTCTCGAAATGCTGCATTGTATGCCYAGTGTTAGAGCAAGAAGATGCAAGATAAAATGATAAGAATAAAGCAATGCCAATATAATTATGTGTGACATTCAACACTCATCTAAGTGACAAAATCCTTTTTTCCATTCAAAAATTTAAAAAGGAAAATGAACACTGATGGTAGCATTTTAACTTTAGACAATAACGTTTTGTCACATATAACATTAACAATATATATCCACTATTGACAGCATCTTACTGATGATAAATGCCTTCCTTTTTCTTTCCTCCAACAGACGATAAAGCTCAAAAGGAGAACGAGAAGGACCTAGATCATGAGCCAATCAGCGTCCGAGATGATTCCAAAAAACGCCCCAGAACAGCCTTCACCAACGAACAAATCAAAGAATTGGAATCGGACTTTCAAAAAAGTAAATATCTAAGTGTCTGCAGAAGAATGGAGCTTTCAAAGTCATTAAGCCTTACAGAGACTCAAATTAAGATCTGGTTCCAAAATCGTCGAACCAAATGGAAGAGGAAACTGGCTGCAGAAATGGAGTATGCCTTGAATGCACAGGGGTACATATTCCCGTCACACCCAATCTGCCATGATGTGCCATTTCGAAGGGGACATTACTCTCATGGCTGGAATACCTTGTCACGGTTTCCTCACAATTATCTTAGTCGTGTTGGTCCTACTCCTTCGTATCAACCGTGTTTTCACCATCGTGTTAGACAATTCCATGCTGCAGATTATGCTCCTTCACAATTTATGGCACAGCCACCTAGATTTTGAGCCTAGACGTTTATGGCAAATCTTGGGTAGTGAGACGCACGATGAAAAGAAGCGGCCATGTTGAGTGCCACCTATTGTGATCTTTGTTTGGCTTGGGCCAAAAAGAAAAGAAAAAAAGCATGTAACATTAAAGTATTCCGTTCTGCATGGCAATGTAATTTACTTTTTAAACTAAAGTAAGACCAATATTTGATTGGGATACAGGATCAACATGACGGAAGGCAACGGACAACACTAGAAAGGAACACATAAAGGGAATATATTACATTGTAATTATGAGGTGGGGAAATAGTTGTATATATACATAGAGAAAGATTTGATATTAAGTTTTATTGTCATCATCTTTGTCATTTGGGGGGGGGGGGGGTTCCAATTGCCGGAATGTGTTCAATCAGCCAGTTCCTTCATAAAGTTAATGCATTTTAGCGGGCCTCATTTTAAAATTAATGTCTAGCAATCATAGTTGCAACTGAGACTGAACGACTAAAAATGGCATAATGTAATAGCCATTCTTTTCTTTTCTCTTCAGTGGAGGAATATTTTGATTTTGACTATGGTGTAGAATTCATTGCCAATTCTTTGGCTGTTACACTAGTTACAAAAGATGTTCGCAATAAAACATGTTGTAAACTTACACATTTACTGTATTCTACGACCACGTGATTCTGGACGCGATTGATTAATATTCAAACAAAAACGTCCCTATGAACTCAAACTCCTATCACATACATCCTACACAACCACCATATGCTGGAGGTATCAATATCCACACAAAGACAAACCGCTGATAAACACAAACATCTATTAAATACATCGTACACACATTAACTATACGTATCAAGTGTGTCGTTTATATCTACACATAAAGACATCACTCGTCTCCCTGCATAGGAATGCACACAGTCTTACACAACCATTCCATCCATTTGAAGTTTTCTCGAATGGTCTGAAGCATTTATAGGAGCTACGTCCATCTCGTACGCTGTGTCTGTGATCTAGATCAAAAAGGACAGCGTAAAGTCAAATGCAAGAAGAGAAAATTGAACGAGTGGGGTGGGGATCATGGCGCAGTGAAGCATCTTTTTCATTACAAAAATATATAACACTTTTGGMCAACATAATGCAGGCTGAATATGTTAGAATGAACCATTTTCAATATTGTTCTTGCGCGATAAAATTAGCTTGATAGCTTCATTATATATATCGTTATTCCTTGATTGCATTCCAGAGGAGTACTCTTATATTTATTTTTATATTTAGTGAATGGGCATACGTACGAACACTCCAATGTTCCTCCATTAAAGAGTCAGAGGTAACATCATTTTTTTATGACAATCAACGTTACCGGAGATTGCAAACTTTTTTCTCTCAATTCTCTTGTCTCCAACTATATTCCTTACCCCAACAAATTAATGTCTCCCCAGTAAGATTGAATAGAAAGATAAAGCCATCAACTTGAATATATCCAGTAATAATGTAATCACAACGAGAATGCCAGCTTAAACATTAAGTCGATTTTATTTACAAACATTCTGACGTCCTTTGTTTTTACAGGAAATTAATCCAAGTTTTAATGAATACCCACTTCTTTCTTTCATCAATTGTTTTTAAAACATAATTATTTTAAAGGGATACTGATTAAGAAATGCTTTGGGCATTCGAAATGAGTTTGACGTACATTGTACTTATTAGCTTAGTTTAATTGATCGAATTTTTAAATATATTTAGATAAAAAATGACCAAAGCTTTAAAAAAACGCTTCCAACGGCAAGTCTATTTCATGCCGGGCTGTAAATGGCGAATCATCGTGTAGCAATGTCAATGGAATAACCTTCAAAAATATTCGTTGAATTTCGTTAAAGAAAACGTATTTCCTGTTCAAATGAGCTCAAAGGTGGCTCAAGACGTCTGAACTGATATTTAAGTGGGCTACCTGTGGAAAACCACAATGCTTTGCGAGCCACACAACTGAACATCTTTCAACAAAACTGACATATTTTCAATTAATTACAAAATTCGGTGATTTCATTTCTTGGATTTAACGTTTTTAAAACCATGGCAGAAGGAGCAGAGCTCACTGGGATGTTCTCCACTTCTCGAATGACTGAAATGAGAGCTGCATTTTCTGAAATTGCCCAAGGAAACGACACAATAACAACTGATAAACTTGGCGAAGTTATGAAGCTTTGTGGCGAAGATGTCCCTCCGTTCAAACTTCGTCAACTATCCGAAGAAGTACAGAAAGAAACTGGGGGAGATGTCGACTTCATTCTCTTTTTAAAACTCTTCAAGAACCTTTCAGTTAAGGCAGTCGGTGGGGAATATAAAAAAGCAGTTGATAAGAGAGTCGGGGTTGAAGAGATTGGAGGCGGTTCGTCGGCCTCTGCAGAAGGAACAAGACACTCTTTTTCAAGCGATGAAACGGTTGCTTTTACAGACTGGATTAACTGTTGCCTTGAAGATGATCCTGAACTTAAAGGTAAACAGTCTCACTAACCGGCTTTTCTTCCTTAGGTTTAGATGTTTTTCGCTCTAAAAATCAAGATGCATACTTAAAAGCTCACTGAAGTTAAAAGCGATTTTTTAATTTTATTTCAAAGTTTCACCAATTTCAAGTTTATTGTCAGATTAAAAATAATCAGCTTAATCTTCAACAATTCACAATGAAATTTGTGATGTGAAAAATTTCTCCATTACAAATTTCGTTTCCAATATTATTTCTAATGTTTATAATATTTTACAGGAAAATATTTGCCCATCGATGAGGAATCCTCAGATGGTCTTTTCAAAGCGGTAAAAGACGGGGTGTTGCTCTGTAAATTGATCAACTTCTCTGTGCCACARACGATAGACGAAAGGGCCATCAACAAAACCAAGCTGAATGTGTACACGATACACGAGAATCAAACCCTTGCACTAAACTCTGCAATGGCAATTGGCTGCAATATCGTGAATATTGGCGCGGAGGACATTATTCAAAGCAAACCACATCTTGTTCTTGGGCTTTTGTGGCAGGTCATAAGGGTAAGATATCTATAATATGAGTTGTTCAATGCAGCAGAAATTTTATACTTCTAGGGTGGATCAGTCCTTCAAATTATCTAGCATGAATCCGCCTCTACTTAGGGGAAGTATGTTTTCTTTGGACATTAGAGAGGGGGTGTGGTTTAAAAATGAACAGTCATTCAGTAAATGGTAAATTTTCCTGAAAGGGTCTAAAGGGAGAATCACTATTTTTTTAACACAGGGATCCTTCCTTCCTCCTCCCCTTTCTTTTCCTTCCCTTTCCTTTCCTTCCTTTGCTTTCCTTTTCTAACCTTTCCAAAAAAAATTTTTTGCCTAACCCATTCTCTCATATATCCTATAGATTGGTTTATTTGCCAAAATAACCATCCACAGCTGTCCAGGACTTGTGCGCCTGCTTGAGGATTATGAGACACTGGATGATTTAAGAAGGTTGCCACCTGAAGATGTCTTGATCAGATGGTTTAACTATCACCTAGAGCAGGCTGGTCATCACAGACGGGTCAAGAACTTCAGCTCTGACATTAGTGATGCTGAGAATTACAGTGTATTGCTGAAACGGGTATATAATATAYATTTAACGGATTCTCGTGTCTGCCTGTTTGTTTGTATTCTCCTTGCCTGTCAGTTTTCTACCTTGCTCTACCTGCATGTCTGCCTGCCTTATTGACTGACTGACTGACTGACTTACTGACTGACTGACTGACTGACTGACTATCTGACTGACTGACTGACTGACTGACTGACTGACTGACTGACTATCTGACTGACTGACTGACTGGCTGACTGACTGACTGACTGACTGACTGACTATCTGACTGACTGACTGACTGGCTGACTGACTGACTGGCGGACTGACTGGCTGGCTGACTGACTGACTGAATTTGCTCTTGTTTCACATTCAATATGTAGCCTACTATAATAACCATAAGCTTGTCATTTTAGATTGCACCACCCGAGCTTATTCTGGATGAGCCACACCTCACAGAATCCGACCCAACCAAACTTGCCACTCTGGTGCTTGAAAACGCTACCAAGATGAACTGCCGCAAGTTTGTCCGCCCCAAGGACATCGTCAAAGGAAACGCAAAACTAAACCTGGCATTCGTTTGTAACTTGTTCAACACGCATCCTTGCTTGGAGCCGGTGGAAGATCTTCCAGAAATCGAAGAGACACGCGAGGAGAAGACGTTTCGTAATTGGATGAATAGCCTTGGGGTTAAACCTTACGTGCATAAYCTGTATGCGGACATTGAGGATGGAATTGTTTTGTTTCAGCTCTTTGATTTGGTTAGTAGCAAGAGAAAACGAACTAAGAGAAGGAATCCTCGCGCCCAAGAGAGCAGAAATATAAGGGCAGGAATCTTCTTAATACCGCGCGCGCCATGTAAATTCCCGGTTGAGCTATTTTTAGTAACCGGATGCAGTTTAAATTTCGCCTTACTCTACTCCCGTGCGTCATCAACCTGCGCGCGCGCGCTTTTTCCGTTTGTTGTTTTAATCACAAAAACGATCTCGTTTTCAGTAATCAAACGGAAAGAGTTCGCGCTCGCTAGTTGACGCACAGGAGTAGGGTAAGGAGAAATTTAAACTGAATCAGGTTAGTAAAAATAGCCCAACCGGGAATTTCATAAGAAGTTTCCCGCCCAATCATGAGCACTCTTTGATGCTATTTTTAGAATCATTCATAAACTAAAGGGCATTTCTGACAAAAAATGGCGCGGAATAAATAGCGATTGTTCTTTTTCACTTCTACATTTATGTATTTCAGGTTAATCCTGGAATAACTGAATGGGACAAAGTCAACAAGCCGCCCTTCAAGAAACTCAACGCCAAAATGAAGAAGATAGAAAACTGTAACTACGTGGTGAACGTTGCTGAGCGCCTCAAGTTTTCAATGGTTGGGATCGGCGGTACTGACATCAGTGATGGAAATACAAAGCTTATTATGGCTCTATTGTGGCAGACAATGAGAGTTTACACCATGACTGTCCTGCAAAAGTGTGCTGCCTCCGAGACGCCCGTGACTGATGCTCAAATCGTGGACTGGGTCAACGACAAACTATCGTCGTCTGGTAAGACAACCAAGATCAGTGGATTCAAGGATCCTGATATAAGAAGCAGTCGCTCAGTGATCGACCTGATCGACGCCATCAAACCAGGGGTAATTAATTACTCACTGACTGCGTCTGACGATGGTGGAGAAGAAGACATGATTATGAATGCCAAGTATGCTATTTCCATGGCCAGAAAGATTGGTGCACGAGTCTATGCGCTGCCGGAGGATCTAGTGGAAGTGAAACCCAAAATGGTACTTACTGTGTTTGCCTGCATTATGGCCTGTGCACAAATGATGTCCAAATGATTACATTGCATTGCGCACTCTTTTACTTCATATTGAAATGGAATTTCCACTGTCATTCTTATTACGCTTGTCTGTAATAAGATGAAGCGACACCCAACATGGTATTTACAGTGTTTGCCTGCATTATGGCCTGTGCACAAATGATGTTCAAATGATTGCATTGCGCACTCTTTTATGTCATATTGAAATGAAGTTTCCACTGTCATTCTTAGTACGCTTGCCTGTAATAAGACGTAGTGACACTCAAAATGGTATTTACTGTGTTTGCCTGCATTTTGGCGTTTGGACAGATCATTTCCAAATGAAAGTTTTGCGCATTAATTTCTRTTACTTTATACTGAAGTTGATTTCCACTCTGACTTTCAGCAACCACTTGGCTGTATTAAAATACTATGTTTATGTGCCATTTGATTTGACCATTTTTATTTAGCGCAGCAGCTAAAGTGACGGGCTAGCCTTCTGATATAATGCACTCACAAAGCGTACGGCGCTGCTCGAAACCTGCGACCGTATTGACATAATTTGTAACTTTTAAAATCTATTTTTTAGGGTCATATGATAAAATACTTATTGACTGAGTTAGGTCGGGCCGTACGGGAAAATATTTGGCTCTCGGACATTTGTACGGACCTCGCACGGCATCACCTCGAGCCAAATATTTTCCCGCACGGCCCTCCCACTCGGTCAATAAGTACATTTTTTTACACAAGTGAATATAATAAATCCGGCGCGCTCATTGGTCACAATTTRCGTCTTATGCTGTTATATCAGGTGAATATAACGCGCACGCGTACCCTCCTTTGTCGATGTGTGCCGCTGCCAGAGATGAATAAAATTTTTAAAATCACCGTTATTTAAGTTCAAGACTTATGTTAAAATTACCGTAAGACTTGCGTCTCGGTAAGTATTCGCCGATATTCACTTTAACTTCGGCGAATAATTGTTAAATAATACATAAAATAATAATAACAAGACGCCCTGTAGGCGTTCACTGGGTTGCCTGTGTCATGCACAGAGGCCTAGTACAGCTGAAGATGTTTGCCAAAAGATAATGGGATGTTTCACAGAAAACAATGATTTCCTTTTACTCGTCTAAGACGATCTTCTACCTTAAGGTGTTCTCTGCATGATATTAAAATATTTGCAGGTTCTGGCCTTTTTTAGGCTAAAAAATAAACAGTTTTGCGTTATGCATGTGACACTACTTGTAAATTTGATCTTGCGCCATGACCCAACAAGATCAAATATCGCAATGTTCTCAGTCAGAATCACTAAATAATTTTCTTATCTTTTTACCATCCTTTGTTAATATATTATTTTCTGGCGTGGCTGTTTATTTTCCTTGTTAGAAAGTGCATAAATTGCGCAATAGTACCTAGAAGTGTTCATGCACCACTCACTTAGTCCTTTGCGGGCATATGATATAGAGATCCAAGTGCAGTAAAGGTTCTTGTCAACAAACTTTGCCAGGAAAGATGGGAAAGCATGGCTCTACTTTAAGCGGATAGATAYTGCTGATATGACTGATAACGTCCGATCGAAGTTATACAGGCTTATAAGCAACCGACTAGGAATAATTATTTATTGAACTAAAAAGATTGCCATATTGTTGAAGATTTAAATCTAAAAAAAAGATTAATTAAAAAAAAAAAGAAGAAAAATCTTATGTGGTTAATATGAAATTCGAACCCACCAAAATAAATTCCAAAAAWTCGACTCCACTTTGCCATACCCCCGAGACATCCGCAGAGCTGAGGCGTCGTATGGACTTCGGACCTGACGGCGATTAAATCCTTCTGCCCTTGGGTGTACGAATTACGCAAGAAAATGTTCTAGCCGAAGCATCAGGGGAGAGACCAGCCGGCCCCCAGACCATTTCGGCTAATCCCTTGCATCTCTGCCACGCACGGAATCGGTTGAAAAAATAACGTTAAAAAGTCTAGTCTATTCGGTGCATTGTTTTCACGGCTATTGTTATGCTGATTCACCTGGAACCGTGGTCCAGTGGATAAATCGTTGTCGTTCAAGATACTGAGTCAAGCTCGTCTGAGGAGGGTTAGCACTTGGATGGGTGACCTAAACATTATACCTACTCATGTTTTTTTCCCCTTTTTTCCTTTTTGATTTTTAAAATAATAGAATATAGAATAGTAAAACTTTTCTATTTCTGAGTAACATGTCTACCCAAATCCGTCAAATTGAAATCTAGTAGAGGAGAAACTGCCGGCCATTTACAATATAACAAACAAAAGGGAGGGTAGACAACCTGAGAACCCGGAGGAAAGCCCTTCAATCAAGGAAGAGACTTCTACTCACATGTGATGGGGGCAAGTCCAGGAATCGAACTCGAGATCCCAGAAGTGAGGAGTGCACTACTGGCCTGAAACAAGATCAAATATGATGGGGGGGGGGGGGGGGGGGGGGGGGGGACCACCCCAACTTGAGTAGGGGTGTGCCGTCAGGACCTCAAAAACCTGACCCCTAGACTGCCTACTTTTGGTCGTTCAATGTGAGCTTACAATATGCATGTGCAACAGGGGGGGGGGGGGGGGGGGGGGGGGACCCTATTCTAAAACGCTCTATGTATTAGTATGACAGACCTAAAATTTTCAGTGTTCAATAAATATACGGTACAACTGCAAAATTGAGCACTTCTTTGGAACAAAAGAGGGCGAATAAAACGTTTTCATCAATGAAAATAACAATAATGAAATATTTTCCTAGTTCAGTTATGGCGTTACTTATTTTTCCTGTGTAACAGTGGAACACTTTGTTGCCTACCTGCATAGTCGAAAATATATAGCATAAATACTACACCACAAAACGTAAAAAGAATTAGAAGCAAGGGCGGATCTAGGGGGRGCAAAGGGGAGTTGAAGCTCCCACTTCAGCAGTAAAAACCGATGCTTTTTTATATTGTTTTCCGTTGTGTTGACGGAAGAAACTCAATTAGCTCCCCCCCCCCTAAACTCAATTAGCCCCCCCTAAAATTTTGGCTGGATCCGCCCTTGAGAAGTACTGTGTACCAATGGGACACTGCTTTGTTGCCTATCTTGCATGATGGATTATATAGTATTAAAAATGCACCTTGAGTATTATTACCTTCCTTTAATACCTCTAAGATTTATGGCCATGATGACTCAAACAAATTGATATAATGCTTATTAGGGGACTGCAGTTTTAAATGAGAAACCATTATGAACAAAGTTGTGCTGTGGAGACAGGAAGTATCACTGATAGGCGTTAGGTACTCTAACATTAAAACAGGAGGTTGTGTTGTGGTGACGACGGGAGGTAGTGCTGGTTCAGGGCCTATATTTTGAGTTCCTTTCACTTTGAAGTRACCGAATTTTCATTTTTCCCCTTTTCTAATTTCCATTTCTGTATGGAATCTTGACCTAGGACTAATTTTTCCATTTCAGACCACCTGTCATGCTCTTAATTCTCTGTTAATGCTTTTAATATGCATGAAACTAACCCAAACAAACAGTCTTATTTTAAAGAGGTTTGGAATGGGATAGGGTCCATTAGTCAATGAGGATTTACTCAACAATCTAGACTAAGAGTCGTCCGTTAATTGGTGAAATAAAACCAAAACAAACACAGGTGGTGCGACAGAAAAGCTCTCGGTGTACATAAAAACTGATAGCCGTCAATTAAATGATCATGAGATGACACTAATCAATAGCTAAACCTGTTTTGATGGTTTACTATCTAATATTGCAACTTCTCGTCTTATGTATAATCATAAAAGATATCGAATCTCGAGCTTTAAAGCATTTAAGAGCTGGCTTTCTGCTTTGTAACGAATAAGGTAAGGCTTATCGTGGAATCGTCGTCAGTTTGCTTTAATTTAAAGTCACAGTGATAAGGAACACTCTTAAGATGAAAATATTAAGTAGAGAGTTCGTTTAGATATTGTTTATAATGGACCAAATGACAATAATGAACTATGTATTAGAGAAACCTAGTTTCCTACGCAGCCCCTATTAGTGTTACGAACTGCGCACGAACCTTCAAAAAGAAAAAACTTTTATCGATAGCCTGATTTATAGCTTTACACCTCCAGGGGCTCGTCACCCCTCTATTGCTCAAATTTCTTAGTAAGTCACCGCCCCCCCCCCCCCCCCCCCCCCCCCCCCCCCCCTTCATCGCATTCCTGGTAAAATTTGTAATAGTCATTCCTCTTTTAAAATTTCTGGATCCACCACTGACCTCTAAGTTGATCAAACTCAGGACACGGCTAACTCGCAAAGAGATATGCTAAACGCGGAGAACTCGGAAAAATACCTTTGAATCAAGGGAAAGAGCTACTGAACAAACCCTACTCACGAGGTGAGAGGCGAGTGCACTCCCACGTCTGCCCACCAATTCCTGCCAGAATTTGCTGAAGTCACTTTAAACAAAAACCATACATTCTTTAACTTACTCCTGAGCCTATAACTTATCTTTTTGTGTGGACAGCCAAAACAAAGGCTTAGGAGAGTCCAGGAACATTTTGAATCGATTTTTTTCATATAGGGTTTTTCTCTGGATTTACTCCATCCTTGAATTAGCCATTCTCAGACTTAGATCAGCCCTCATGTTGTTTCAGGGTGTCGAGTGTGACCCGAGTGTAGCATATAATCATTTTACATAACAAGACAAGTAACTCACAATTTAGCCTTTTATTCAAATTGAACCCTCCTTTTTTTCTTATATACTTGTTTATCCGCGAAAAATGTTTTAGTGTCAACAATATCAAGGAGTTCTACGCCGCATGATGACGACATGGATATGTATCCTTGTGTTTCAGTGGATACCAGTGATAGTACAGAGTTGCCCTTCATACTCTCAACCCAGTATGAAACTTCAGGGTCACGTGAGAGAAACCTACTCCGCCTCGCAAGCAAGCAGTCAGTGTATTGACGAATGTGAATTGCGTGCAGATTGCCATAGCATTAATTACTACTCCATTCAAGGGATGTGTRAGTTGAATAACACTAATCACTTGACTAACCCCGAAAGTCTGGTCTACTCTGCTGGTTGTCAATACGGTGTCGTGGTGCAGTAACAAACTCTGCAGCTACCCACTTCACTGTGCGATTGATAAGACAACAGAACTGGGCTACAGGTGTTTCTCTTGTGAAGGTAAAAAGTAGCAGATTTTTTCTATATATGCTCTTGCGTTTGTTTGTGTGTGTGTGTGTGTGTGTGAGTTTTTTTTAGTTCGCTTCTCAATAGTCTTTTCTTCGTTGGCCCTTTTTGCAGATGTTTTTTAAGTTAAATTTTCACTCTGTTTTTGTGTTCTGAACATACACCGCCTCAGTTCTCACATATGATCAAAGTTCCTTCTGCCTCAAATCCCTCTAATTTTTCCCCGTCGTATCAGGGTATAATGCTCTACTATCATTTCCGAGGAAATCCATCCAAGATAAAGCTGTTTACATGAATTTCGTTCAACTGACGGCCTTCACTGTCAGCTTGTGGGTACAAGTTGATCCAAGTACACCTAACAATACACCGTTTAGTTATGCAACCGCTGGCCAGCCTAATGAAATACTGGTTTACGTGAGCGACGTGAACTCGTATTTTCGCATTAACAACCTTCTCCTGTAAGTAAAACTCATAAGTGTCTTTTTACTGCGAAATAAAACGCTACGGTTCCCTCGTTTAGGGATCGGAACTTTGAAAATATCATTTGCTACTGAATGAATGGTACGTTCTATCCGAGGTAGGCTGGGTCCAGTCTCATCACCAGTCCTTTAGTGAAAAATCGATTTTTCGTTACAAAGCCAACAAGGGTCTCGGTACGAAAATGAGCTGGTTCAAGGCCGAAAATGTGCTTTTGTTGTCCTCACCTCAGCTCTCTTCGGGTGCAGCACATTGAACATTAAAATAAATTTCACGTCACGTGATAACAGGAGGGGAAGTCTTTACGGTGAAGTTGCACGCACAAGGGCCAGAAGGCAAATTTGAAATACACGCATGCGCAAACGTTTTCTGGTGTCGGCGTTTCTGTTACATCAGTGACTGCGGCACATGCTCATTTCAAAGAACAACTTCCGGTAGCTGTCCTTTGGGGGRAAAAACTTATTTTAACATACATGCACCTACAATAATAATAATTTTTCGCTGATCAAACACGATGCATTTTCATTCTATTTTACTGTACTCAGGAATTCTTCCCCTTCTGTGACCGATGGCCAATGGCACCATGTCTGTGGAACATGGGAAAACGTGCAGGGGAATTTCGTGATGTACATCGATGGAATCGAGCAGGCAACCCAGGGAAATGTTATGAAAGGCCGCATCATTGAAACAGGTTATGTTGTTGTTGGTCAAGACCAGGACTCCTATATGGGTGGATTCCAAACTTACCAGTCTTTCCAGGGTAACTTGACGAGTGTTAACATGTGGGACAGAGTTCTTACAGCCCAAGAGGTATCCGCCATTGCAGCCAGATGCTCTTCATCCCAGGGCAATGTTATAAAGTGGGCTGTTCTTAAAGAGAAGTCATCTGGAAACGTGAAACTGACCTGTCAGGCTGTTTGTTAGTATCTAGTCGTAAAATTCAACAATGCATGAATGTCACTCATATATCGCACGTACGTTTCTCCGTAAGGTTTTAATCA